GCCCCCCTGGATCGTTCCAGCGCCCCCCAGGGGGCAGTATCGCCCACTTTGGGAACCTCTGATCTAAAGCAATTCTACTTAAGCATCTCAAAGTTAGACTTTTTATTTGATGAGTACAAGACTGCCAAAATGGTGCTTTATGTTTGCAACTTTCAGTTTCTGGAGATGAAAATTTACCCCTTTGATACTTGTATAGCAGACTACATATAAGTGAAAGCTGCATCTTACTGCACTATTTTAAACCTACAGTAGACTCAAGTCTTCACAGACGCTGTGAGTGGCTGTCCAAAACTATCATCTACCATGTTTGTGCTAGCTGCAGCATAGCAATAGCACATTCAAATATTCTAACCTTGTGTGGCTAAACTATGATCTATAAAGCATAATTATTTGTTAAGGGACTTTATAGACTATATACACTGTCTGCCCAAACAGTTAACAATCAAGCTGGAGTTTGTAATCTAGATATACAAGCATAGGCATCTCCCACTGTACTTATCACCGATAGGTAAGGATATGTGCCAAAAGTAAACACATTATTATTAAAGGGACAATGAGTCATGAAATTAGCATCTGCCAGGTATGATATAATGATTTAGAAGTGTGCCAGAACAAATTTCAAGTTAAAAATCCCAAATTGTCTTCAAGAGATTACAATTTTCTGCTCCCAGAGATACAAATAGCACAATGCATATATCAATTATACAGAAGAGCTTTTCATTTTCCTTCACACCAATATTTCCAAAGTACTTTTCTTAAAAAACCTACCAGTTTTAAGTTTAAATTGTAACAAACAGGATATTTAAATTATGTGTAACAAATATCTTTAATGATTTAAAGAATTTATTCTTGATATTCTTTTAGAGTCTTCCTTAATCTAAAAAAATTAAATATTTGAGCACTTTATATACTTTTTAATTATGTTAGTATCCCCAAAATGCTTACCTGCACTAACATTCTTTGATAGAACTGGAAGTGGGTCAGTGTCTTGATCGGGTTTGATTAAAATGGAAACAGCAGAGGATGCTGTTATCTCTCTTAGAAGGCTGCTGACACCTTGGGTGGATTCCTTCAACAATGAGGTTACATTTTGCGTGGATTCTTTTAAGAGATCAGAGACGGTAGGAGTGCATTTGCTCTGCCCATTTAAGTCCTTGTTGTCGATGTTGATTGCAAAAAGAATGGAGTTCAGACCTTTAGATAAAGCAAAAAGAAAAACCATACAGCAACATAACTGAGTGCATATATGCAATGATATTTCATACACAAATGAAATTAATAGAACATTAAGGCTGCAATGAGGAAGTGTGAAAATAAATCCACAACGAAGAGTAGATTTTAACACTGCCTCCCTTCTGTAATTCACTAATCACATACTATCTCAAATATCACATAGTGGAAGATCTATGCCGATGACTCACAGATCTACCTCTCTCCTCTGGACCGGTCTCCTTCCGTCCAATTAAAATATCATCCTGTCTCTCTGACATTGCTTTGTGAATGTCTAGCCATCACCCAAAGCTTAATGTGGCTAAAACAGAGTTCTTAACCATATCCCTCCTCCAACCAGCCCCGCTAATTCCTTCATTGATCACTGTGGACAAACACCTCTGCCCTGCCTCTCACTTAGGCTCCTAATGTGGGCATCATCTTCAACTTGGAACTCTCTCTAGGTCCTTACATCTAGGCTATGTCTAAATCTTGCCAATTCTTTATGTATTAGAACTCTAAGATATGACCTTTCTTATCCATCCATGCAACTAAAAATTCTCATCCAAGCTCTGATCAAGTAGCATTTCAATCACTCCAACATCATTCTCTCTGCCTTTCACAAATACAGTCTTGCCCCATTTACATCCATTCAGAATGCTGCTACAAAGAACATTTTCCTAGCTTGTTGCTTTGACCATGTCATCCCTCTCTTTATATCCTTCCACCAGCTCTATTACATCAAACATAAGTTGCTTGTCATCACTTCCAAGGCCCTTCAGGGTCTATCCAGATGCTACCTATGATCTTGCATTTGCTATTAAGATGTTGATGCTCACTTATGATCGGCCCATGATGCCAGCCTCCTTCACCCACTTGTTACTTTTTCTCACAAGCACCTCTGTGCTCTCTCCCATGCTGCCCCTCATGTTTAGGAGGAGCTCCCAATAAATATCCACAAAACTAACTCATTATCCTCCTTGAAAAGCCTCCTCAAAAATTCTCCTTTGCTGTAATGCCTACCAAAAAAAACCCCACTCGACAACAGGTAGGCTGCTGGTTTGCTGAGACCACTGCCTATCATGTTGACCAATATTGTCTTTGTTTCCCTGTATGACTGTATCCACCTGTTGGCTCTTGTCTTATACTGAGACTGTAAACTCTTTGGGGGCACAGATTGTCTTTTTTGTTGTTTGTACAGTGGCTAGTACAATAGAGTTCTAGGCCATGACTATGGCTTTTAGGCATTAATGTAATAAAAATAAATAAGAAGGAACATTACACAGAGGAAGGATGGTCCAGAGGCTAGAACATTAATTTGGACTTGCCAGACCAAAGTTCAATTCCCTATGATCTTGGATGCAATTCAAGAAATAGTATGCAGCCAAGTAAGACTACTGCATTGCTCACACTGTCAAAATGCTGCTTTAAGTTGTTTTGCTGTTAAAAAAAAGTCAGTGCTCTTTAGAATAACATATCCTAATTATTTTCTTTGCTAGTGTACTGATACAGCAATATAAACTACAATTTTGAAAGATCAAGGTTTGTAAGCAAAAAGTTAAAGCTCCCACACAAAGTATTCCCACCAAGTAGAGATCTCAATACTCCCTCTGTAATTTAAGTTGGTGCCAATATCCAATGTTATGTATGTCCCATTAATGAGTACATAAAATGAACCAGCACTCGCCTCACCAACAGCACCCAACTTATTATTTTATAAAGTGCTTTGCAATTACTACAGAAATAAGCACATTCCAAAAATGAAGTCTCTCTCACAACAGTATCATTCAAGAGTTTGCCTTAAAATGTCCAGGCTTACCAGCTGCCATCGTAGGTATCATACTAGAACGTTCTTCATCCATCATAAAAGACCAGTCTTCATAGAAGACACTATAGATTAAAAGGTAAACATAAAGCCACATTGTTGCATATTCTTTATTTAGCGTATTTTCAAAAGAGGAAACATGACACATAGCAGCTGCACAGAGGCTCAGATACATCAGCTGATCCAAATACAAAGTGCAGTGGCCCTTTAAAGAGCCTGACATGCATGAGATGGGAGAAAGAGTAATATAAACTCTAGGCAATTCTAAACTAAAAGTAATGAAGCCTATTCAAATGTGAGTTGTATAATAGTGAATACTGGGCGTTAAATGAAATAGTCTGCCTTTGATCTTCGCATTTTCTAATAAGATGCAAGTCATTCCGATCAGGACTCTCTCAGCTGTAAGACTAAGTTTACAGTAATACTAGCAATTACTTCTGGATAAACAGCTATATTAACAGCCATATCACTTACCACTGCATATCCATATAGTTGCCATATTTGAGAAATCCAACATTTCACCCATAGCTACCAAACCATTTTGGAGCAAGTTAGAAAGGATAGATATAAACAAATAATGAGAACAGAGCCAGATCCCGTGTTAAAAACTGAGCTGTTGAGCAATGAATTATCAGGCCCAACCAAATTATTTAGGCTCTTGCTCAACCAGGATGTAAAGGCACTAAAGAATCAAAGGGAGGTTGATGTGATTCCTGTAAGTAATAGGCAAGAGACTGGTAACTAAAAATGTTGGGCTGAACCCTTTCCTTAGCAAGCACCATACTCTACCATTACACCTTAACTGAATGGTTAAAGAATGGGATAGCAAAGAATTTATTGTGACAAAAAACTGAGACTGAGTTCTTATAAAAGAAAATAAATAAGGGGAAGAAAATGGATGCAATCTACTAGGTTTTGTACTTTGTAACATTTTGCGTGAACACTGCCTACTGACTGTGTTGTTTATTTAGATGTTGACTCTTCAGATCAAGGACTGTCATATAATGTGTATGAAGAATGGTGCCCAATCCTGACTAGGGCATTTAGGCTCATTCAGGCTCTTGCTCACTCTCTCCCCCTCTCTGCTCGCTCGCTCTCTCCCTTACCCCCATCTCATGCAGAACATTAGGCCTTCAGCGCTGCCTTCCATCTTTTCCCATCTCCTGCTGCAATCTTAACTTCTTCCAGTGTCACTTTGATAGCTTTCAATTCTGCTTCTATTGTGTATTTCCATGTTTGTTATCCTGAGTCTACCTCATCATCTCTTGCCTTGGGGATTTCAGTCCAATGCCCGTCTCATCATGTTATTTGGGTCTTTCCTCCATGTATGTCCTAGACACCTCCATTTTCATTCCATAATTTCCTGTCCTTAGTTTCTGTTTTGTCCTCCTCCAGAGTTCTTTATGTGTGATTTTTTTCTGGACATCTAATATGGAGGATTTGTCTAAGATAACTGTTTATGAAAACTTGGAGTTTAGACAGTAAGGTCTTAACAAGACTTCAAGTTTCAGCGCCGTATAGTAAGATTCATTTTATAATCATGTTAAATATTTGAAGTTTAGTTCAGAGGGCAAGATTTCTGTTTCTCCAGATCAACTTTGGCATTACAAAGGCATTTCTGGATTTCACTATTCTGGCTTTAATGTCTTACTAGGCTGCCAAGATATGTGAACATCCATGACATCTGTGACAGAATCATATCCCTAGTCATAATAGATCTGAATGTTCACAAACTTTTGAAGGATAACATAATGGCATAGCGACTTCCATAAAAGTGTTCTATCCTCCGTTCCAAAGGCATTTTGGAAATCTTTATAATTCATATAAAGCGACGACTATCACACTATCAACAGTTCTTTCAAGATACGTTGCTATTTGCTATCCTGTTTTAACCCAACCTGTTCTTGTCTGTGATGCTTCCCAAGGGGGTACCCAGGGTTGTGAGGCATCTCGCCACCACCTGCCCTTGGTGTGAGGTCTGTGCCTGCTGTGAATCAGCTCCCTGATTCCAACAGCCTCTGGCAACAAAAACAGTGTCTTCCAGGCCTCCACAGAGGCCTCTCTGTGCAGGTTAGCAATAGGCTCACATAAATCCCTTAGTCCTCTGAATGTCCCTCTGGAGAGCCCAGACATTAGTCCACCAAACACTCACATAACTCTCAGATTCTCCACTCCCAAAGGAATAGTTTACACCAAGATATTTGATTCCTCTCATGATCACCACTCCGCTTAACCCACAGCACTCGGATACATTAATAAACTTATTCCTGTTTTCACTATAGTCAAAGAACAGAGATTAAAACAATAGTAAATAAGTATATTGGAAACAAATAGTTACACTATGTATGTAACATTGGAAAAAATAACCCCAACTATACATACAATATGATGGGGGCTAATTTAGCTACAACAAGTCAGGAAAAAGATCTTGGAGTCATCGCGGATAGTTCTCTGAAAATGTCCACGCAGTGTGCAGAGGCGGTCAAAAAAGCAAACAGGATGTTAGGAATCATTAAAAAGGGGATAGAGAATAAGACTGAGAATATATTATTGCCCTTATATAAATCAATGGTACGCCCTCATCTCGAACAC